CAGAAATTAAGGGATTTTCTAAAAACCAGACCAACCCTACAAGAAATGCCTTAGGCACTATGCTACCAAAGCATTAATCATTAGAGAGATGCAAATCAAAACAACAATGAGATATCATCTCACCCCAGCAATAATAGCAAAGTTCAACAGGTCAGAAAATAATAAATGTTGGCGAGGTTGGGAGAGATTGGAACTCTAGTGCACCACTGCCGGGATTGTAAAATGGTACAACCATCGTGGCAAACAATGTGGTATGGCGTTTCCTTAAAAAACTGAAAACAGAAGTACCATTTGATCCAACAATTCCATTACTAGGAATATATCCTAAAGAGGTGAGAGATAGCACACGAACAGAAATGTACACCTATGTTCATCACAGCACAATTCACTATAGCAAAGAGATGGAAACAACCTAAATGTCCGTCAATGGAAGAGTTGCTGTTATGTGCCATCGAGTCGGACCCGACTCATAGAGACCGCTCCTTGGGTTTCCGAGGCAGTACCATTACGGAAGTAGATTGCCCAACCTTCCTTCCGAGGAGTGGCTGGAGGGTTTGAACTGCCAGCCTTCTGGTTAGCAATCAAATGCCTTAGGCACTATGCTACCAGAGCTCCCAATGGGTAAGTAGATAACCAAATTATGGTATATGCACACAATGGAATACTATGCTTCATTAAAGAACAATGAGGGATACTTGAATCATCTCACAATGTGGATGAACCTGGAGGACATTATGCTGAGTGAAATAAGTCAATCACAGAAGAACAAGTACTGTATGAGCCCATTACTGTAAAAAGACAGAGAAGGGTTTGCTTGGGAAAGGGAACTCACCTAGTAGGTGAGGGAGGGAATGGTGAAGGAAGGGGAGGGGTTAATTTCAGGCAAGTTGGGGCCTACATGCTGACATGGGTACGGACAAGGATGTACGGGAAGGATCTATGACCACCATGATAATGTTAGGAAATGGGAAGACACTGAATTGTGCACATAAGAGATAGACGACAGGTGCCAATACCAACCAATGTGTCCACAATACTGCATTGCC